ACATAAGGATTGGCTTTATATGACACATCAATAATACAGTATATGATGTATATATAAATCATCAAACCGTGTTATTTAAAGTATAATTTTAGCTCTGTTTTAAAAAACTTTGGTGCATTAAGTCAAACAGGATTTAATTGGCTCAAGAAGAAATTATATGAAGTTGTGCTGCCCTCATCTGGGTAAAAAAGTGAATTGCACTTACAGCAGGCTAGCAGCCTGTTGCTACAGTATCTGAAAGGGATCCACATTTGCAGCATTTGATATAATAAAACTCACATTTTTGTATAAAACAAGTGTGTTTGCTTATTAGACTGTATGATATATGAGTCAATCATCACTGTGTGGAGGTTGTCGAGGTGGAAAATACACACTACTGTGAACAGAGCAGGGTCTATTCAGTGCTGCATCAACTTTCCAGCAACTTTTACAACTGTTTCGGATTTTTGTAATTTGTTTTCAAAAGACCCCAAGGTTGCAAATGAGCAAAACCACAATAGAGCGTGTAATACTTCCCAATAAAGTGTAAAGTTTAAAAAAGGGGTAAAAAAAGGCTTCACATTGTTTTAAAACCTTAGTGACTATTGGTCCAGTAGACTGACCTCTCCTTGTTGGGACACGCCCCAGAGGTAGGGATACCTTCCTGACTGGTCACTCATCTCCCAACCACCACAGCTTATGTCACTGAGCGGCAGCGGGGGCTTCCTGGGATTGTCCAGAGGGATCTGCAGAAAGACAGTGACTTTGAGTCTTCAGTGTGATTCGTACTCACTTGTCTACACTGACTAATATTAGAACCAGAGAGAGTTCAAACCTTCGCCCAGGTGCCTTGTGCTATGTATCTCCTGTAACGGATCCACCGCCTGCGACGAACACAGGAGTTCCACTTTTTGTCCGGGGAGAAGTTTGCCGGGAAATCAACTGCATACTCCCAGCCCTGAAAATAAGACATTTTATATTTCATCAATCAAAATGATGTAGCAAGGAAAAAAACATAGAAAAGGACTGTGTATGTGTGTGTGTTGTTTCTTACCCCAGTCTGGCTGGGTTCTCCTCCACAGCTCTGATCCACATACCAGTCCCCCTCCCACTCCCAGCTGCGGGAGGGCAGCTCAAAGCTGTGGAGCGGCTGAGGATTCATCCCGGTCACATCGCTCCATG